CCCGCACTCCCTGTGAACTCCACTTCACAGCCCGGGGCTGAATGTGCCCTGATCAAATATTTCAACACTCCCAAGTATGTATGTTGAGAAATAAGCGCACACGCAGAGCTATTAGGTAGCCGCTCAGGCCGCCTCTGTCATAGGCCAGTCCAAACCAGTTCTTGTTTATCACTGGCACAGTGGCCGCCCTTGTATCAACAACTGCAAGCGAGCGAATGAGACTTGCACGCAGTGTCACTGCATTAAATACAAGCATGACTCATTTGCATGGTGCGCTTGAGGTCAAAGTTGCCAAAAAAACAAACAAAGAATTATTGTTGCCCTTGCTTATTTTGCTGCTTAATGCTTAATAATTTTGAAAGCTCAGATGTGAGAGTAAAGCTTTGATGCAGCTTGATAACAAAATACTTTTTTTTAGATAAATTCACCGAAAAATCAAAAGATTAAATTAAAACATCACAAAAGAGAGAAAAAATTATGCTACAAATAATAAAACTAGTGAATCAGATTTTAACATGATTCAAAATGTTTATCCTGAAGCAAAAGCAATGCTATGATTTATTATTTTCATAATATAATTACACGAGTTCGCCTGCCCAAACAGTCCTGATGGTTAATGGTAAATGAACTTGGCTTGCTGTCCTTAATGGAGGCTCGAACCCGAGGCTCGGCTTGAGCGCCGAGTTCAACCCCCCATTGCGGTACTACCTAGAGGGAGACAGACAGAAATAGAGGAGGAGATGGGGAGGTGGAGGGATGCCAGAAGAATTGACGCTGTGACGGCGCAATGAGAGCTGCTTATATAGGCTTGTAACGATGATTGACAAGACTGAATGATTAGGCTCCTCCCGAACCTACATTTGGAACTTATATAATATAATATAATATAATATAATATAATATAATATAATATAATATAATATAATATAATATAATATAATATAATATAATATAATATAATATAATATAATATAATATAATATAATATAATATAATATAATATAATATAATATAATATAATATAATATAATATAATATAATATAATATAATATAATATAATATAATATAATATAATATAATATAATATAATATAATATAATATAATATAATATAATATAATACAAAATTTTAAAGTGTTATTATATTTATAATTGATATAATTCGCAAAAGTAATGCTATATTTTATTAGTGATATTTATATTCAATATTTTATAATAAAATTATTTAATGTACTAATATTATTTAATGTACTAATAGATTTATAACTGATATGATTTGTTTAATATAATATATAAATCATATCAGAATCCTTTCAGAGACTTTGCAGGTGGCAGCCAGTCAGAAGACGATCTGGCACTCCTGCACCAATGGCATTGCAGAATGTCTGGGGCGGGGCCTGCATTGCTGACCACTGGTTACACTGACTCAGCTGAAAGTCGGGGTGTCGCGTGTCAGGACTGACCCCTCTGGCAGCAGAGTCACCGACGGACCATCTCTGACTCGCGGAGCACGTCCCTTCTTAGAAACATGTCCCGCCGCTTCTGGACTAATGTTAGTTATGAAAGTGTCCTCTATTCCCATATTTAGATCCATGACATTATGTAAAAGGGGAGAGAAGCATCTTCACGCACTTTTGTGTTTTCACCTGTTGCGAAAGAAAAACTGTGGTATCATTGGTGAATTATATTTGATTTAGGGCTTCTTTTTAGATATTTTAAAGGGGTCATCGGATGCAAAACTCACTTTTACATGTTATTTGAACATAAATGTGTGTTGGCAGTGTGTGTACACAACCACCCTATAATGATAAAAATCCACCCAGTGTTTTTTTTTAATCTCTAAAAATAATATCCCCTTTTTCAAATCAAGCCATTCTCAGCTTCTTGTCTGTGTGACATCACACAGGCCAAGGCCACTCCCACGATAGTTGATTGACACGGCCGTCTTACCTTAGACCCGCCCTGAGTGAGCTGTAACAGTCCGACCGCCATTGTTTCACCGCCGGAGCTGATGTAGACAAGAATGACTCCTAAGCGATTGAGGTGTTCTGTTGTTAGATGTAATGATGAACATAGCAGTCGTCATTCACTCCCGACATCTGAGCTGCTGAAGATGCAGTGGATTACGTTTGTTTTTGAAGAGAATGCGCCCCCAATCTACATAAATGCGTCTGTTCGTGCGAATCATTCATGATCCAGCTTCACCTACAGAAGAAGTGAGTATAAGGTTTTTTTAAAGAATTTTTGCAAATTGCCTTTCCTTATAATGTGCTAATTAGCAAGTTTCACGATGAATGCGGCTAAAGTAAACAGTCTCTCTGAGAGGCAAGGCTATCGGTGCCAAAACACTTTTTATTTTTTATGATTATCTGCGAATCGCGTTTGCGCTTCCACAGAAGAGAGGGGCGGGGGGAGCAGAGCTCATTAGCATTGAAAGGGAAATGCAACAAAACAGCTTGCTCTGAAAAGAGCTGATTTTAACAAGGTAAAAGAGAGTTTTTTTTACACTACCATTGAGAAATTTTAACCAAAGTATGTTATAGACTTTTCATTAAGACCCTAAAGAATCATATCAACTTGTGGAAAATGGGCATCCGATGACCCCTATAAGCTCAAATTCCTTGCTTTGTGTTTCAGCTCCTTCACAGAACATTCAAAACAGACATTCTTTCGTCTGCTCGTCTAGACTTTGGCATATGTTCTCTTTCATATGTGTTGAAGCGTGTATGGTGGATTAAACCCTGCACACAGAGCGCAGATGACGCAGGCTGATAGTTTTCCTCAGGTTAATCCTGCAGTGCTGTAACACCTGCCACATGCACAGCCTGCCACAGGCCTTGTCAAGTTCATCACCTAAAGTACCTATCGAACATGTCTGGAGACACTTGAATTATTGAGACTTGTCAAGAAGAGCCTAGGGCGAAGATTTTACATAATCATCGCGTTCTGTTAAGACACACTGCTCACCCAGTTCTACTTGATCCTCTACTTGTGTGTTGGAAAGAAGAAGGGTGGTGTTTTTGTGCCAATTATAGTGGAGACCGGGGCTAGCTGTCACATGGGCTACACTATCGGTAAAAAGTTTGAAATAATTAAGATCTTTTAATGGTCTTGAAAAGAGTCTCTTAGGGTCACCAAGTCTGCATTTATTTGATCAAAATATCAGTAAAAACAGGAATATTGTGAAATATTATTAAAATTTTAAATAACTGGTTTCTATTTGAATATATTTTAAAATGTAATTTATTCCTGTGATGCAAAGACGAATTTTCAGCATCATTACTTCAGTCTTCAGTGTCACATGATCCTTCAGAAATTATGCTAATATGCTGATTTGCTGCTCAAAAAAATATTTATTTTCTTGTTCTTGTTTGGATGTTCGTTTCAAACATATAGTCCCCATTCTGTAGCCTACATACAGTGTGACAACATTTCCTGATTTTAGGGCATGTTGTCACCAAAAGTGAAAGAAATTAGTCTTTTTGTAGCCATTCCTGAGGTTTTTGCCTGAGTTTTCAAAAACAAACCTCCCCTAAGAAATAATAACTTAAAGGAACACTCCACTATTTTTGAAAATAGGCTAATTTTCCAACTCCCCTAGAGTTAAACAGTTGAGTTTTACCGTTTTCTAATCCATTCAGCCGATCTCCGGGTCTGGCGGTAGCACTTTTAGCTTAGCTTAGCATAGCTCATTGAATCTGATTAGACCGTTAGCATCTCGCTCAAAAATGACCAAAGAGTTTCGATATTTTTCCTATTTAAAACTTGACTCTTCTGTAGTTACATTTTCGCAACTTTTCATTTTCCGTCGGTCTTAGTACACGATGTAACTACAGAAGAGTCAAGTTTTAAATAGGAAAAATATCGAAACTCTTTGGTCATTTTTTAGCGAGATGCTAACGGTCTAATCAGATTCAATGATCTATGCTAAGCTGCAGCTAAAAGTGCTTCCGCCAGACCCGGAGATCGGCTGAATGGATTCGAAAACGGTAAAACTCAACTGTTTAACTCTAGGGGAGTTGGAAAATGAGCCTATTTTCAAAAATAGTGGAGTGTTCCTTTAAGTCAACTAGCCCTGGTCATTCACATATGTAAATGTGTACTAAAATTAATTTGTTAAAAACTCTATACAATCCTAATGATTACTCTGTTGATGTTTATCTGAATTTAATTGACATTTCCAGCTGTAAACTTGAGCATTTTACACTACATTTACAGCAATGAGCTCTAATGAGCTGAAGAGATCCAGTTTTATCCCTGACCAGCAGAGAAAAAGTAGGTTAGTGGTCCACTTACAGCTCTTGGGAGCAAACATCTGCTCCGTTTGAGCCTGGGAAGAGGAGTGGAAAATATGAGGCGTTCCTAGCGCACATGAGGTCTGTGTGCGCAAGGACAACGAACTCCTTGTGTTCGGTGAGCATCTGGTCCTTAGATGGCCTGTCTGCTGGAATGCCAAGAGAACGGAAAGGAAAAGACGTTTCCTCTGAAGGGAAGCTGAAGCTTGTGAAGCCAAACGACTCAATGATGAAGTAGAATCATATAAAAATGTTTGCAAATTTGTATTTTTATACTTTGAAGGTTGTTTTGTGTACAGTTTAGATGCAAACGCAATGTAAATGCTGGTGGTGAAAAGTTGCACAATGAAGTCTGTCAACACAGGGAAATGGTTAAAGATCTCGCCTCTGGATACGTAACACCCGTCTGTCTATTTGCACTTTGTGTTGTTTTACATTTAATCCCATCATGCTTTACCAACCTGGGTCATGGTTCTAGACATGGCAAAGCACATGATGTAATCACCATCGCTGGATCTTTTTGTACTTTTGACATGCAATAGCCTTGACTATGATATACAACCTCATTTCCACTTTGTCAGTGATTTATTGCCAGGAGTTTTTGTCTGAACATATAGGAACACCTGTGTTTGCCAAATATGTCAAGTTCCCTAGTGTAAATTGGTGTTCTTGAAGTATGTTCTAACAAGTAATAAAGGAAAACTAAACTTTAGTTTTTGTATAAAATGGCATATTTATTTAAACACTGGTGCAAAAACAGACAAACATAAAAACATTTTTTGCTGTGACATCATATAGACAACCTACAAAATGGTATAAAAGTTAGAAACAAGCCAAGAATACAAAACTATGTGGAAACGCACTGAAAACACAGCGGATATTGCACCGTTCGGCTTGGGAGTAGCTTAATACCCATTTCACCCATCAACCCCTGAAATGAAAAACAATGGAAGCCAGTTTAATTAGCTCTGGACCAGCCTGACTGAAGAGTAACGTCGCCTCCTATATGCAGTATGCATTACATGTTCAGTCTTTATGAGGGTTCTTTAATTCCCTGGAAGTGCATGTTTGAGAATGTTCTCGTAGTATCTAAGATAAAACAATAGAAAACAAAACAAACGGCAACAATTTTCACCATGACCCAAAGCACAAACATCAAGGTAAGGATGCATACAGTTCACAAAAAATACATAGTCCCTTTTTTAGGTATAGGTAAATGTCAGCACAGCGCACAAATTCAGACAAATTCATGGTTTTTGTGCCAAGGCCACAAAGATTGTTTCATTAGTCCAAACGTGTAGCTAGTGACTCTAGTTTGTCTGATAACAGCACATTTATGTAAACAAACATAGCTAAAATCAGATGTAAATGTCAGAGCATATGTTTGTCAAACTTGTGCATCGTATTAGCCAAGCTTCGGTATAGGGTTGCAAAAAGGTGGAAAATTTCCAGTAAATTTCAGAAATAGTCCAGAAATTTTGTAAACTTTACAGGAATTTTTGGAAAGTTTCTGGAAATTTACCGGAAATTTTCCACCCCTTTGCAACCCTACTTCGGTATACACTTTGAATGCAATCGATGAAAAGTGCTAAAAAAAAAAAAAAAATAGGCCTACACCAACAGGCCACAGTCAGAAGAGTAGGGAAAAAGAAAGTCTAGTTAGCTCTTATTTGCACATATAGTACGAGGCTCTAAATGAGTTCTGGAGTGCAGTTCTCTGCGTATCTTGTAACAGCATGAGCGGGAGGACTAATTCAAGAATGTCTTGCTTCTCGATGAGAGTTCTCTTCGTTCGCCGTCAATGGTATCTTTTCTTTCGCCACTTGAATCAGTGCCATGTTCAGTTTGATGCTCTCGCAGTTTCTTTCGAGAAGAAAGGCAACGTGGCATGTCAGAATCCCATCCATAATGCTTTGCAGCAGGTCTTGTTGTATCCACATCTACAGTTTACAACGTTCTTAAAACGTTTCAAGAAAATCAATGTGGTAAAGCCACTTCTTTTAAGTCAAGAAATGACAAAAAATTGACAAGTCTGTCATTGTTCTGTTGGAGTGGATGCAGGATGGTTGGAGTTATTTGTTGCTTTTAGAATAATGATCACCAAAAAATCTTCAAGATGATTCAGTCTGATCATTCAAATAAGTGAAGAATCACATCCAAAACAAGGCTGGAGATGTTTGGACACTGTTCTCACACTTAGTGGTGTTGCGTTTAATCCATCTTGGTGTCAAGGGCACAGTTTTCTCCAAACAAATCTTGTATGTACTCTTTTCACCAAGGATGGAGGGGGAGGGGAATCACTCAAGATCTTCAGCGGATTTTAGGGGCTGCTGAGCTGGACTCGACTCGGATTGGGAGTGTTTCCTGGAGGATATCCATCTGCGCACCAAGATGGCTACTCATGCCTCCTCATGAAGGAAGAACAAACCCCAGTTGAGGTTGTAGAGATAAGAGATCCCTGACAGCACTGGTCAGGTGTGGTCACTCCTTCAGCGGGATGGACAGGTATCTGGTCTCCTGTCCATGGAGCCGCACACCTGCTCAGGATGGGGATCAACCTATCAAGGGAGAAGAACAAGGTTTGAGAACACAGGAACTCAAATGCATTAGCAAGACAGAAGCTACAAAAAGTCTTCGAACTCAACGCACCTCAGAATACAGAGGCGGAGGTTGGAAGCGGAATTCATGGATGTAAGCATAAAGTGGTCCTTCAGTCTCATCTCTCACAGCCGGGAGCTCCAAGTTGTTCTGTCGCTCCTCATTGGTGATGATTTCAGAGTAGCTTGGTGGAGCTAGAAGAGTTGAGGACAAAGCCAACAATTAGACCACAAAAGACTTCTAAACTGATTGTTTAATGTCAAACAGTCATGAAGTATGTTGAGCAATGGGGCTCAATCCTACTCCTGGAGATCTGCCTTTGGATTAACTGGAGACTCTGGGAAGTAGACTCTAAAAGAAGGTGGTCCTCAAGGAGCAGGACTGAGTACCCATAATCTAAAGGGTCTAGGTAACAAGTTTAGGATTTGTGCCATACCTTCAGGTCTCTCAGGCAATCCCAACCAGCTCATAGCCATGCTGCACTGACTGCTGACAGAAGAGGTGCGACTGCCGAAGGAGTGGATGGGAATGGTGCCGATCACCAAGGGCAGGTTCAGGGTTAAGTTGACAGCTCGAGGGATGTCCACATACACCTGTCGAGAAGCAAGAGGTTAGTTCCATGGCAGATATTGGCAAGCAGTTTACTTTGTCATGAATCAAACAGATTGTAGGCTCACCATGAGTGAATATTCCACATGGATGATGCTGCAGTCCAGAATGGAAGGCGAAATGGGTGGGATCTTCAGCATCTTGCCGTCCCAAGTCTCGCTCTTGCCAGGGGGTAGAGGATCTCCACGGAGGTTAGCTACGAGTTGTTTGATCTCCTTGACCTTCCCTTTGGCAAAGAAGGTCTGGGTTTGGTAGATGGCTGCCTTTGGCACGACCACACGGGAAGAGCAGTTTTCAATCTCTGCGAAGATCTGGATGGACTCTCCTGCAAAGAAAACCAACCAAATTCATTCACTCTGAATGATAAAACTTTCATAATAGTTAACTAGTGGCTAACTGTCCACCAACAAGCAGGTTTATCATCTCACCTGGAGTGTAGCCCTTCCTCTCGATTTTGGCACTTAGTGATACAGGCCCTGAGGTGCAGAACCAGCAGCAAAGGGTTTTGTCCTTTGTGCCAGCCTGAGGAGACTATAAATGAAAAAGTGACAATATATGAACCTCTGAAATCATACAACAGCTCAAGCAAAAATTCAGTTTTACATTATAAGGTACTTAGGCTTCAAATGCTTTTCTCTTACCAGTAACAATGGAGTGTTGATGTCAATGTGCTCAAAGACGGTGAACTCCTTCTTGGTTTTCATGGGCAGGAGCCATGGCCTATGAAGCTCCGCTTTCAACCAGTACCGTACGCTGCCGTGTTTGCCTTCAAAGGATGTCGCCAAAGGCCTGGAAAGAGACATGAAAAAATAATGTAAGCATTTTGGTCGATACATTATATATATGTGTATAATCAGGCAGGAGAGTTACTTACGTCTGGGGCAGTTCGAGGCTGAAGAGAAACTCGTGTCGCCCTGAGTGAAGAACGGTGAAGCCCTCGTCACAGCTTTCATCATCTAAAACAAAGGAGAATAAAACTCGATATACCAATATACTATACCTGTAATATTCCTCAAGAATCCTAAACACAAGACAAAGACAGAGATACGACCCACATTGTCTAGTGCTTCAATGAATATAGGAATAGAACACAACATTTTAAAACATTACAAAACAATGTCAGCATAAGAATGTTTTTTTTTTACAAAACCTTTTTGAAGTGGGAATAGAAGAGCAAACTGTCCATAATTTGGTGTAGTATGTTTTTATGCTTTTCAAAAGAAAAAGGGGTGAACCTTGTCACATCACTAAAACCTTAAATATATGAACATACAAACAAAATAACTAGTTAAAAAATGCAATGTTCTAAATTCACAACAAAAATTAATATAGGAATATTTAGTCTTAAATATGTTTATTTTTTTAGTAAAAGATATTGTTTTGATGTATTTTCATAGCTTTTGTTCATTCTTTTACTTCCACCTCAGCGGTTCCACAGACCTGTGTAAATAACTATGGCCATAAAGAAATACACGTTGAAGCAGTTGTTTTCATTCATTTTTATTTTTTAAATGTATTTGTCTCTTCTTTTTATTGCCACCTCAGCAGTTCCACAGCCTGCTGTAAATAACTATGAGCCTCTCACTCGAAGGCAGCCAAGAGCTAGAGAGGACCAGACTGAACTGGCGCGAGCAGCCTCTCAGCCGGATTTCCTCATGCATATATTACTAGTCGGCTCCTGATTGGCTGAGCCGGGGCGTTTTTCTCTTGAATACGCCCCCATAAGGAAGCCACATGTGTACTGCAGCATAACGAAAATGAAACATACGTTAAAAAAAAACTCAATACGAAAATAAATAGTTTGACTTAGTTTATTAGTAGAAAAGACTTCATTACAAAAACTCCATAATTACTTTAATGGTTGTTACAGAGTACATTAAATTCAGTTTGACAACATACCTCAAAATATTACATAGCAGAATATAAACACATGTAACATTTATAGCGACCTAAACTTTTACAGTTGACATAAATCATGCTAACCAGTGGCATAGGAAGCGAATTCATTTGTTTTTCTTGCTGTTACAGTTTCTTTATTAGGCCAAAATATTTTTTAACAAATGCAGAATGATGCATAAGGTGAAGAATGAAAATATCACATTTTAATGAACTTTCAATCAGTCCTGCATTGTTGCGAATAAGTTGCATCGCAGTCTTGACACTTGGGCAAGGATATGATATCACCAGGGAGCACACGAGCACTTCCACCAATCAGCGAAGAGATAGGATTGACCTCAACCAATCAGCGAGCAGAGACTCGGTCCGCAATACCCCCTCTCCACCAGTTTCTGAACAGGTTTAAACCGCTTCTAACAAAGGCTAAAACTTACCAGAACCGTCTATGAAATAAACTGTAACTTATAATAAAAAAAAACGCATGACACGATATGATTACATAGTGAATATCGATATAAAAAACGTTCATTGCAGATATTAAACGAAAAGATTTAAAGTAAAAGATTAACTGGTTGTTTTGGACAGGGGCTTGTAGTTTAAACTCTGGTGTTCAAACAAACAACTTCATTTAAGCATTCACTTTGCTGGAATACTTTTAAAATAATTCAACATCTAATTCAAGATTTTTGTTTTTACATTTAATTCCAGTATTACTGAAATAAAGTCTGGTAGCAAGGAAGAGGTTTCAACCAAGCATCATCTAAGGGTTCATAAAGAAATCGTGTATTTCTCGTTTCTCTCTGCCTATGCCAGTGGATTAAACTCTTCACAGAGAGGAAACTAAAAATGGAATATTTCTAAACAAACAAAAGACACAATGTAAGGAGCATCTGTCATAAATAAAAAGTGCTTCATTAAAATGCTCCTTACCTCTATCATGTCCAATAAGGACGTCTCTGTGGTTTAAATACTCCACTTCTTCAGTGAAATTCTGTGTGTAGGCAGTGTTGGATCCAGCATTACGTGATTCAGTCCAGCGAACTTTCGCCAGTCCCTTGGCGTGAATGTTCAGAGATTTCACGCGAATTTCTCCGGTAACTTCAATGATCACCCGACCCGAGACAAAGTCCCCACTGGCGAAGACAGGGACGTTACTGTCATTGAGACAGTCGTAGCTGACAAAGAAGTTTTTCACCTTTCCGAGCACCATGGTGGAAATCTTACTAAGCTGTAAGATATTTAAAATAAAAAGAGCGAATCATCTGTCAGATGTTTCTATGAAAGAAATCATCCAAGGGTTGTGCCGTGCAGAAAGGCTGCAGGCAGGTTCACTGCTATACTTGTCTGTCATTCATTGAGTTTTGCTGTAACTGCATGTGAAGATGCTCCGACTCTGCTTTAATACCTCCGTTTGGTGGAAAAACAACCGGACTGCGCATGCGCAATCGATAAGACTACTACTGCTGCTGCTGCTGCTCCCTTCTTCCGCCTTCCTATGCTTCAGTGTCTGTTGTATTGTTTAAAAGTAGCCTTTCTTCACAGACTCGTACATCCAAGTGTTTTACTAATAAACTAGTGACTGCCTAATAGTATGCCAACATTATGATAGGATGCAATACTACATAGTAGTGTGAAAAAATACAAATGTGAATACAGTATCACAGTGAAACAAAAGAAAGTGGAAGGAAATAGAAACAAACCGACTTGAAGCCAGATGCACAATTGTTCATGCGTTGTTGACATCTAACACAGAAGTGAAACTATGCTTAATTAAATTCGAATGTACTCGCATGAATGAAATCACTCATTAGACTTTATAAAAAAAAAAACGCTTTTTAGACTGATTTAGCAAGCTTTAAGAGCTAAGCTAAAATTTGTAATGTGGATTTTTTCCCCCCTATATAGATGGCTGTAATTGTGATGTTTTCATGACATGTATTGTTTTAGTGTTTTGTTAAATATCATTTCAAGCGCTGGGCTTTCATAGTTATCAAGTCTCTCTTCACTGCCACCTGCCTGATAAAGGGGGTTATTGCATAATGCAACTTCTAAATAGCATACTTTATTCATTTAAAGGTGGGGTAAGCGATTTCTGGTAGCCAATGTTGACATTTGAAATCACCAAAACAAACACGCCCCTCCTCGGCGTCAATCTGCAAACGCAGGCCTTCCGCTCCTTGAGTTCTCTCCAGCGCTGGAAAGCTGATTCGATATTTACACGGGTCCTACTTCTTGCCTTAAGCCTTCTTTTGTTCCGCAAACGTTTTCCTCTTTTGTTTTTTTATCCTCCATCTCTATCTTTCTGTCGCTCGTCTCAGCTAATGTCCGTCCTGTGTACTGAATGCTCTCTCCTCCACATCATGAGTAGACACGCCCCTTACTGCTGATTGGCTACAAGTTTGTTTTGCTACTCGGCCCGAATTAGTTTTCTAAAGTGTTTTTGAAAAATTGCTTACCCCACCTTTAAACTGATATTATCTACAGACAGAAACTTTTGCTTCAGACTTTGACAGAACAGGCTAAATCTTATGTACTTTAGTATTTCGTATAATGTACTGTACAAGTACAATGTAAATTGTATTCTTTTGTAAGTATGCTAAATACATAAATGTAAATATATTGTGGGAAAGAAGAGAAAATGTTGAAGCTAAATTTTTATTTGTGAAAGTTTTTGTTTAATTTTCTTATTATATTTTTTATTATGTTTGTAAATATGCCTGATACAAAATACTACAAAATACTTCAGCTGAAGAAAACAAGAGTAGCTGCCATGACCAATGTTATTTTAGTATAATTTACATAGTATTATAGCATTTATTCATATATATTTTTTTCAGTTTGGTTTTAATTTTAGATTAAATTTGAGTAATTTTGCTATATGCATTTGGCATTAGTTTTTAGGGTTTTTTAATATTTCTACTAGCTTTTTAACTTCAGTTTTATTAATTTCAGTACTTCAACTTATATTTACTTCAGTTAGTTGCCAAGGCAAAAATTCCAATTTTCATTTCAAGTTTTTTAAGTTTACATTATATATATATATATATATATATATATATATGTTTTGCATCTTTTCCATCGCTAAACAGAAGGAGATTTACCAAAAAATATTTTTGTAAGAATTTTATTAGTTTTGCATTACACAATAAACACAAAACAATACATGAAAAATAAATAAATAAAATAAAATAATAATAACAAAAGAAAAGCACACTTTTAAGAACAATTAGGGCATATAGGCAGTTTCAGTGGAAAATTAAACAAGCACTCAACAGTGGGCATGCAGCATACTAATTATTACACTGCTGGTCAGAGTCAACATTACACTGGGCCAGATGACCTAGAAATGGTTGCCATATACTGTAAAATTTATCAGGATTACCCATAACTCCAAAGTCCATATTATTTGTCAAAAACCCAACAGCAGATGGCAGCAAAGCTCTATTCAAACTCATGAACTTGATACATTCTTTAAAATGACCAATTTGCAATTTAAGCACAACTGTTACAGACATGCTAAAAGTAATGATACATTTGAGTTATTCCCAACTATTGCATGGTCCCTGGAGGTGTAATATGGACAATACATATGTCATTTCCAAAGACAGTATTTTAGTTGTCCCATATTTTACAGCACAAACGCTACCAATCAGATGTAAAAGGTAAAACATACATGCTTTTGCAAAGAAATCTGGAGCACAAAACCCCATTCGTTTACGAGAATAAAGATTCTGGAACAATTTCGCCAAGTAATTGATTCTATTCAGATCAATTCTCATTGGATGACCATTAGAGCTCAAGACAAAGACCCTTTCAGGCAAAGTCCTGTCATACTAAAACAATGGCCATGACTGAGATGATGGATCCATTTCTACCTTTCCCACTCTTCGTTTTATGTAATTCACTGGATGATCTTATCAATTCCATCCTCCAGAGCAGGGACAGGTCTGCTCTCTCCGGGTCAGAGGTCACCGTCAGAGTTCAAAGGTCAAATTTAGTATTTAAATTGAAGACCTTACAAAACGCTGATGGATACGGGTAGCTTTTATCATAATATCATTACACTGTTGGCTCTTAAATGATTGAAAGATATATCTAATTATAATTTAAAAATTACAATTATAATTCTATTGAAGTGAAGCATCCACACACACTGACTAATGTAGGTGAATGAAGATTTTACAAATTTACAGCACTTATACTTTTACCAATGTATTTTTAATCTATATCACCAATTTATTTTATAACTTTTAATTTATAACAATTAATTTACTTGTTTTTTAGCGGTAGGTTCAGTGCCTCGCCAAAGCATAAAGCTTCTTGGCTTAGGCTGGTATAATGTGTGTGTGTGTGTGTGTGTGTGTGTGTGTGTGTGTTTAAGAGCCATGATGTAATGTGAAGACTCAAGTCTTTCCCACACTTGGAGAGGGATCCCTGACAGCCTGGGAAACTAAAAGCTTCCATCTGTTCAACAGGTCAACAGAGGGTCCTGTGACCTTTGACACAGATTTGTCCCCCAGTAAACATGATGGACCAAGCTGTTGACAGAGTGGTAAACGATACAGACCAGTTCTGTGTAATCTCATCTGAGTCAGACTTATCCGATATTCTGTTGACAGGTCGTACATCTAATTGTCAACAAAGGAGGAAAAACAAATTATTTGGTAAGTACATAACTTTTTTCCACCATTAAAAGTGATTTATGAAACACCTTCCAAATTTAAATTTGCTTTTTAAAATTACTTCACTATCAAGGTCGGAATGTTCATGGCTTCACAATGCCCAACATGAACTTTTCACACTTGAAATAGTTAACCCTGGGTTATTCTAAACCTGTTATATTGCTTCAATTCCTAACCATGGGGTTAACGTTCTTATTTGCAAATTTGTGTTGTCAGTGCCATGACTAGACCAACAATGCAGAACGCGACTTGTTTACATAACAGCTCTAGCTCTTCGTATTGTATACCGTACAGTAGGCTATATCTTTATTTTCCAGAATGGACTTTTCGGTGGACTGTCAAGGTAAACATAAAGAACAGCCTCTTCTTAACTCCAATTCATCTGTTTCCATCACCATTTGACATTTTCCCAATCAAACACTAAAACTAACGTACAACGCTGCTATCTCCATGACTGTCCACGTGAATACGAAACATGCGACTGGGTGTCTGTTGCTAACCATAACATTCAGCACCTCATAATGGCTTTTCACACTGCATTTGACTTCCAGTGTTGCCAATTTAGCTACTTTGTAGCTAGATTTAGCTACTTCCCCGCCCCTTTTGAGACTTTTTCAAAAATGTAGGGACAAATATAGCAACTTCTTGGACAAACCTTATCTAAGTTCTCATCTTGCCCACTGATCTACGTTCATCTTTATATAGATCAGTGAATTTGCCATTGTGATGTCATCTAGTGACATTTAGCTACCAGTTTTAGCTACTTTCAATTGAAAGCAGTTGGCAACACTGTTGACTTCGGGTTATTGTCATTCTAAACACTGCTTTTTACATGGGGTTCTGAAACCCCGCTCTGGAGTAAACTTTGCCAACTTTATACAATATGAAATGGAGAGGTGTTAAAATGTTATGGTTAAATGCTTAAGCAACATTCAATCCCGTGATTCATACCCACGTGCTCTAGAGTAGTCACGGAAACAGCGTGCGTTGTATAAACAGTATAAGGTAAATGTCACATTAACCCAGGGTTTAGGAACATACAGTGTGAATCCTCAGTTTATGACTGCCCATGATTAATTGTTATCCCCATCTAAATTATGAGCAGTGTGAAACATGGAGAAACCCCAGGATTCCCTTTGGTTGCCGTGATTTTGCCAAGTAAGACATGTTTCTGGATCAACATCTTTTGTTGATCCTGGATCAACATAACTGTCCAAAAATATAGACTTAACCCAATCCCTACCCCTAAACCTAACCCTACCCATAATTTTCTCCTAAAAACAGTGTGAAATTATAGCTGATTAACAAGGGTGTAGAAGCACCTAACCCTTATTGTAAGCCTAAAACAGATATTTCCTGAAAAGTTATCCCTCAATTCTGATTGGTTGATAGGAATGTTGTTCCAGGATCAACAAGGATGTTGATCCAGGAACATGTTGTACTTGGTAAAATCACGGTCACCAAACAGGTCTCATGCTGCATTCATCCAATCAGTGATGCAGACACTGCAAATATGCAAAGGAGAATGTTAACCCAGGGTTTAAGAATGTACAGTGTGAATCGCAAACTTAAAAACCCAAGATTAACTTTTAACCCCAGGTAAAGTATGCGCAGTGTGAGACGTGAAGCAATTAACCCCAGGACTTCATTTACCCAGGTTTAGAATAATAGGGTACATGTCGAACGTCACCTGACCAA